ATATTTTATTGATAAGTCAATTAAAACCAATTATAAATAACGATATTTCTACAGTTTTAAAAGTTACATCCCTAGTTCTATCCGCCATTACGGGTGACCAAGTGAAGTTTATGTAGGCACGATTTTTTCCTAGTTGTTTCTTATCCATACTCTTATCATATCAGTGGTTAAACCGGTAAACGGCAGACGGATCACCTAATGGTAAGTAATCGGCGTCGCCCATGAACATCTAAAACACCAGAGGTGCGTTGGATCACAAGTGCGTTACCGGCGTTTTGAGTATTAGGAATTTGAGAATTGTGGGGGATTCGGGGATTGGGGAGACTGAGGAAAGGGGGTAATTGGGCTCCGGTAACCTCACTCACACGACGAAACACAACGCAAGCGTTGTTTCACGTCTGTTTTTGTCGATATACATACATAATTCATTTTCGATTTTTTCTATCAAATTTTACTCTCTACCACATTCCGTGAGTAGGTAACACATGCCTACGTCACTATCCAGTTGCCACTTTATTGCAATAAAACAAAACATACGGAAATATTTTTATTCAGTATACTGTTTTATTAAATACTAACTTCTGCCCGCGACTTCGTACGCTCAGTTCTGTTTTCTCCCGTTCCCGTAGGATTTTCAGTACTTTATCTGTCATAAGAACCTTCTCCTGACAATAACAAACACAACAAAAAAAAATCAGTCAAATCGGTCTAGCCGTTCTCAAGTTATGGCGTGACAACGGGAAACGGGTTTCATTTTTATATTTATATTTAGACTAGCTGTTGTCCGCAAAGAATATGAATTTTAGAACATAAAGAATTTTTTTTCAATTTTCTAAAATAAAAGTTGCCTATGTTATTACCACAGTATAAAAATCATACCGTAGGACGACGCCTCGTGTAAAATGCCGACATCGTCTAGACAGCAACGCATCGGCCAGGGTTGTCAAAAATATGAGCTTATGGCACCGACTAGAAGTCGGTCAGTGTGTGAGTAACTCATAAATACTAATATAGTTACGTTTTTGCTTTTTAATTTTTTCTTTTATTTGTTTTAGTTTTAGGTTTTTTGAGAAGTCGGTATTTTTAAACGCAATTTTTTTTTTTATTGTAAGTGGCAAAAATATACCCATTTTGCCACTTATAATCCACATAGATGCAAAGTTCTAATCAATACAAATTATAGAGGTACAAACCTAAACACAAGGTAGTTACTGTACACTATTGAAGAGATACATTTCGAAAGCACCATCAGTTTTACCACCTTTGAAAACCATGAAAACGATACCTAAGACGATAAATTAAAAATTTCGGGCAACGGCCATCTTAGATTAGCATTTTGACAACTCCATCATTTACACGACCCTCGAAAACCATGAAAACGACACTAATTATAACGATAAATTGAAAATTTATTGCAGCCGCCATCTTGAATTTACATTTTGACAACCCCAACGGTTTTATCACCACAGAAAACCATCAAAACGATACCTAAGACGATAAATTGAAAATTTTGTGCAGCGACCATCTTGGCTTTAAATCTTGACACAACCATAATTTTTACCACCCTCGAAAACCGTCAAAACGACACCAATGACAAAAAGTTGAACATATCAGGCAGCGGCCATCTTGGATTTACATTTTGACAGCACCACCTTACCTTTATTATCTCTAAATACTATGTATATAGAAGCTATTGGTATACCAATTTAAATAAATAAATATACACTATCATTGTCAACACCCTCGAAAACTATGAAAACGACACCCATGACGATAAATTATAAATTTCATGCAACGGCAAACATACATGAAAAAGAAACAATCATTCGAACATATGCCGGAAGTCTTTTTGAAGTCGGTAAAAACGAGCACGCGATAACCCTGAATAATATATCCCGAGCCACTAACAGATCGAAATGAAGGTAAACATAGACA